TTGCATTTATAGTAATCTGTATATTATATTAACTCATTATTTATATGAAAGTGTTTTCTAATTAACCATTGAATGGCTCAATGTTTTGTACAATTAAGACATTGATGGTAATATTGGTGATACTAATAAGTGATGATTTGCATTGCGATTACGAGTGACCTGTGGTTCAAGTAGTGACCAATTGTGGTGATAATTGTTGTCAATAGTGTTGTGCTAATCGTTAGTCAATTGAATTGAATTGTATTAACAGTACTACAGATAACGTGTGCATCCAATGGCAGGTAAATGTAATAATAGTGGCGTATATCGTGTATATACTGTAGTATTGTATGAGTGGTGTGTGTGTAGTGTCGGTGCAGTGATGGCTCGACTGATCCGCGAGCATCGCTCAGCCCTTTCATACCTACCGGTGCTGTGCTGTCAGCCCTCGACACTCACCAACACTTCACTCTCTCTGCTCTCCTATTCTCTCCCATTCTCTCAGTATTTGAAACTTATTTCTCAGACAAGTGTTGACTCTTTTTGCACTTCAAGTCAACACTAAATCACTCATTGGTTTTGTGTTAGACTTGTATTCAAATGAGTCAATGCTTTCATATAAAAGCCTTAATCAATAACTACCTGTCCTATCATTGGCGATGATTTAGTTCCCAATCATTGTAACAGTTTCTCGCATTTAAATCTTTGAATATAAGCCAAAAACACAAAGCATTTGATTATTTCTGTATTAATAACTTATCGATTAATATATTGTATTTGTCTTCACTTTTTCGTCAAATATTTACGTGAAATGTGTTTTCATTTTGAAAATCGCTTTCAAGAAATGGTTTAATAATCGCTTGTTTTCGCTGCTCTTAAGCTCATAATCACATAAATTGTTGATTTATTTGTCTGAATATAATGTTTAGAAATGATAGTTAAGTCCTGAGGCTTACCTCTAATTCAAATGAATTATGTATTAATTGTAGACTTTTATTATGATTGAAGGAAACGGCGAAATCCAATGGACTTTCTCTCAGGTCAAGGGAACTCTCGAGGATGAAGTGACCGATGGTTTGTACCACCATTTGTATGATTGCAA